TTTTAGTGGTATTTAATCACCGCTGGGGTTTTTATTTTTTGCTAAATTAACAAAAAAAGACCAAAAATTTTGAAAAAAACACACGTTTTTTTCTTTGTTTCTGTTATAAAAGTTTGCAAATAAATAATTGTTCTTCATAAATTTAGGCCAAGATGTATTCTGCTACATGTCTTTGGTGAAAATAACCCAAATTAGGATGTATTTTTTAGTTTGTAGGAAAGTTATAGAGTTCACAAACTATGGTATAGATCTGAATATTGATCAATCCTGAAGTACTGACAGCCAATCTAATTTCTTGAGGTCCAAGAATATCAGAACAGTACAGATATCCCCCAAATGACCCCTTTTTGTAAAGTAGACAGTCCGATGTACTTCATAAGAGGCATGGTGAGTTTTTTGAAGTTGTATTTTTTTGTCATAATTTTTCGGAAAATTAAAAAATTAAAAAAATTATTTTCACAATTTTTCTTTTTACATACTGTCACCAGTGCAGTACAGCGTCATCATATAATTGGTATGGCGGTGATCAGGGACAATGACTGGTGACAGTATGATAAAAATATATATATCATTTTTTTTTTTCATTTTTTTTATTATTGTTAATTTTTTATTACATTTTTTTATTTTTTTAAAGATTTTTTTTCATATTTCACTATGACCGAAGTAGTATAATGTAACCATAGTAACATTGTACTACTATGGGGAAGTGATCGGTATTTTTTTTTTTTCATACACAATTTGCTTATAGCAAAGAATTACTTTGCTATAAGCAAGCATTTATCGGAATGACATCGATTCATTCAGGGTTTTTTTTTTTCGTGCTTAGCTGTGATTTGGTCACAGCTAATCACATGACATGTGCATGTGATCGCTGTGACCATTCACAGCTAGACACTAGTATACAATGGATGGCATGAATGAAGCCATCCTTTGTATACAACTGTCATGTGACCTGCTGTGATTGGTCACAGCAGGTCACATGGTACCGGCAACGGGGCCGGTACTCAGATCTGTCATCGGCCGTGTCCGAGATCGTGCTGCTCATCATCAGTACACATCATCAGTGCCAGCTCATCAGTGCCGCCTATCAGTGCTGCCTATCCGTGCCACCTCATTTGTGCTGCCTATCAGTGCTGCCTATCAGTGCCCATCAGTGTAACCTATCAGTGCCGCTTATCAGTACCAATCAGTGCTGCCTATTAGTGCCCATTAGTGTTGCCTATCAGTGCAGCCTCATCAACGCACATCAGTGAAGGAGAAAAATTATCTGTTTGCAATGTTTTCTAATAGAAACAAAGAAACTTTTTTTTTTTTTTTTTTGCTCTTTTTTTGTTTACAGCACAAAAAGTAAAACACCCAGCGGCAAGTAAGTACCACCAAAAGAAGGCTCTATATGTGAGAAAAATATGATAAAGATTTTATATGGGTATAATGTTGCATGACCGCACAATTGTCATCCAAAGTGCGACAGCACTGAAAGCTGAAAATTGGCCTGGTAAGGAAGGGGGTATAAGTGCCCAGTAGGCAAGTGGTTAAACTAAACCTTATTGGAGAAATACGGGCCTGCCAGTGCTGACCCCTGTCAGGAAATGTTGGTTGTCTAGCTGTAATATTGCTGACTATATTTTCTGATCAACAAATTTTGAATAGAGATCAGACAAGTAGTGCCTTTGGCTTACACAGAAGCTGATCCTTACTGCAGCATGCCCTGGAATATCTTGATCTCTTCTTGAAGGGGCGGCACACTGCAAGTGAATTGTCAGCTTTAGCTTTAGGTCTCTTTTTAAAGTGGATCTAAAACCTCAAGGTTTTTTACCTTCATGCATTCTATGCATGAAGGTAAAAAACCTTCTGTTTGCAGCAGCCCCCCCCCCCCCCCCCCCAAACACTTACCTGAGCCTCCTCTTGATCCAGTGATGTCTATGAGAGTCTTGGTTCTCTGGGGACTCTCACTCCTGATTGGCTGAGGCAACTGTCAATCACTGCCAGTGAGTCCATCAGGAGAAGGAGGGGACAGGGCCGTGCCGCTGCTCTGTGTGTAAATGGACATGCAGCGCCAGGGCTCGGTGCCACCATAACAAGCTGTTTGAGAGGGAGGGGGAGGGTAGGGGCTGGCAGGAGACCTGAGAAGAGGAGGATCTGGGCTGTTCTGTGCAAAACCACTGCACAGAGCAGGTAACAGGCATGACAACTTTATTATTTTTAAGAAAAAAAACAATACTTTAGTGTCACTAAAGCAGTATTAAACCCAGACGTAAACATTAATTACATTGCAGCTTTCCAATTCTTAAATGTGATGGCTGCATTTGTTTTCTCTTTAGGTTTTCTTTCCTTCATTTTCACCTAGTGATCTGGCCAGTAATTCTGTTGTTTTTCAACACACCAAGCTGTTCTGCAGATGTAGCAGTTAGAGGAATGAAACAATTTACCACTGACATTGGTGCTGACAATGGTCTGCTTTATCTCAAAAGGAACAAAACTGTTCCTGTATTAGCTGGATTTGGCTTCAATTTGTTAGTGTATATAAATCTGCTACTGCATCTAACACTACCCTCCCCCCAGATTAACAAAGCTGCTGTCCAAGGTTGTCTCTGTTGCTCCTCCATCCAGAGTGTAGGCACTAATACAGGAGGTGTGTTACTGGTCAGATCACCAGATAAAAACAGAGGGGAAAAAAGCCTAAAAAAAGAAAAGAAATTCAGCCATCTAATGATAGGTAAGCTGCAATATATTTGTTTTGGTTTTGGGTTTAATACTGCTTTGAGACCACCTAAATAGACATGTGCAAAATGAAAACATTTATTTTGTTTCATTACGTTTCGATTCGTTATATGACTAATTTAATTTAATTTGATTAGTTAAATTCGTTTAATTTTTTTTTGGAATTCGTTTTGTTTATTCGAATTTGATCAAATTCGAAATTTCAGTGGATTTCAAATTAATTCTAATGTATTCGAAAACAATTCTAACGGATTTGAAAATAATTCCAACGGATTCAAAAATTATTCTAACAGTTTCGAAAATAATTCCAACAGATTCAAAAACAATTCCAACGGATTCGATAATAATTCTAATAGATTCGATAATAATTCTAACGTTACAATTCATAGTCCACAATCCATATGTGTTTTTGATGGTATATGGGCTATATGAAGAGTTGCGTGACCATATTGGAAATTTAAGCAAAATTTTCACAGTGCCTTTGCACTACTCACGTCACCATAGTGCAGCTCACAATTGTTTGTAAAGTATTTTAGTCTTTTCTAAGCTATTCTATTCTTTTCTATTATTTTATATTCTAATGTATTCTGTTCGAATTCAAATTCATTCTTTTCAAAATTCAAATTTCAGAAGTCAGTTATATTCGTTCTATTTTATTCTATTCTATTGTTTTTCTATACTATTCTATTCTATGATTCTCTAGTCTAATCTTTTCTATTCTATTCTTTGATTTCCTATTCTATTCTAATCTTTTCTATTCTATTCTAATTGATTCTATTCTGTTTCTTTATTTATGTTCTATTTTGCTCTGTTTTACTCTTATTATTTTCTATTCTAATCTTTTCTTTTCTATTCTAATCTTTTCTATTCTATTCTGATTGATTCTAATTTTTTCTATTCTATTCTTTGATTTTCTATTCTAATCTTTTCTATTCTATTCTAATGGATTCTATTCTTTTCTATTCCTTTATTTTCTATTCTATTTTGTTCTGGTTTACTCTGCTATTTTCTACTGTATTCTGTTCTATTCTTTTATTTTCTATTCTGTTCTTTTTTTATCTATTCTTTTCCATTCTATTCGTTAATTTTAATTTCTATTCTATTCTATCATTTTCTATTTCTTTATTATCTATTCTATTTTATTCTATTCTTGTTTTCAAATACAAATTTGTTTTTGAACGTGTTTTCGAATTCCAATCAATTTGAATTTCGGCCAAATTTCATTTAGTTATTTCAGATTCGTTTAAATGTGTTACTATTGTAATTCAGAATTTGGATACATTCGAATCTCACGAATAACGGAAAACTCATCTGAATTTCGATTCAGAACAAAACAAACTGCACATGTCTACACCTAAACACTTTCCTGTTCCAACACCAAATCCATGTTTGAATACCAAAACTGGACAATGTAAAGTAATGTGTTCACCTTATGCTACATATTATATTTTGCTACAAGTTTGAGTTCTAGCACATAAAAAGTTGGAAAGCTAATATAAAGATAGATTTCAGATAGTTATGTCAGCAAAAGGTAAAAATACATTGTTATTTTTTCAATGAATAACAAATGTTTGTTTTTTAATAATTGGCAATGGTCATCTTTAGACCGTAGTGCAACTCATGTCTAGATAGAATTAGCTAGCTAACGTCTGTATCCTAGACCTATAATAATGTGTGCGACCAGAGATCTTACATGTTTACAACAACGAATCACCCTATATTTAAACCAGGTATCCTATCCTACCGCAGTGACCTAGATTGAACACACTGGAGCACTAAATTACAAAAAGCAGAGAAGACACAAATAACTTGAAGAACATACTGTGCCTTTCACACATAATTACTATATATTGCTCATGCTAGCCAACATAAAGCTCATCTACCATCCTAACCTAATGAGGGAAAATGAACCATGTTCTTTATCTGGATGAAGTAAAAGCAAAAGGGGTCTATTTGCACTGCATTTCTGAGTCAACAGTAGTACTGGCAGGTAGCAGAATCTAAAAAAATTGTACAAGCAAAAACAAAGAATGAAGTTCTGCTTTCTAAGCAATTGTGCAACTAAATTAAAAGACATAAGTAACACAAATGCAGGCAAATAATATACAGTAGCACTAATAAAAGAATGAATAAGGAAAGAGTAAAAAACATATATGTTAACCGCTTTCCCACTTCCCTATAGCAGATATACTGCTACAGGGCAGCAAGGGTGCGCAAAATCACGAACATATAGGTGATTTTGCATTTCCAGGTAGGGGGCACACGCGCCCTACCCATGCCGTTATTTTCGACCTCAGCTGTCAATCACCAGGTCCCGGCCGGTGATTACTTGCAGGCACCCGGTGATCGAGGAGCATTGCCGACGGAGAGAGAGAGAACTGTATGTAAACAACAGAGATCTATCACTGTCAGCTCCTGCACACTGCTTTGCATGGCTCTGCATAGCAGAGCCATACAAAGCAGTGTGCTTACGGTTGAAAGCACACACACAACCCACAGTAAAACAGCACACAGCGCACAGTTAACCCTTTGATCGTCCCACATGTTAACCCCTTCCTGCCCAGTGTCATTAGTAGAGTGTCAGTGCTTTTTATTAGCACTGATCACTGTGTTGGTGTCACTGGGGATGTCAGTGACACCCAGTCAGTTCCCCCCAGTGTCAGAATGCCCGCCGCAGTCCTGCAGTCCTGCAGTCCTGCTATAAGTCGCTGATTGCTGCCATTACTAGTACAGATTATTTAAAAAAAAAAAATCCCAGTATATATAACTCCATTTGTAAAAGCTATAACTTTCATGTAAACCAATTAATTTAAATGAATTGGGATTTTTTTTTAGCAAAGACATGTAACAGAATACGTTTTGGTCTAAATTTATGAGGAAATTTGATTTTTGAAATTTTTTTACTTCACATGTTTAATAGCAAAAAGGTAAAAATATTTTTCTGACATTCTCTTGGATATTCCTGAGGCCAACAATATAGTTCAGACATTCTTGCAAATTGGAGTAAAACCCAGGTCAGCCTGTCCTTCAGTTCTGTCCCAAGAAACACTTTGCACACCACCATGCCCCTAGGATTAAGGCCAGGAATCAGATATGGCTTTCTACAAGGAACTTAACCCTCAAGGTTCCCACTAAAAAAATGACTCCTAGGTTTATCATTCCTTTTAGGGTCATTCAACAGGTTAACCTGGTTTCCTTTAGATTATAATTTCCTGCTTCCTTGAGAGTTCACAGTACTTTTTATGTCTTTTACTTAAGTCGTTCACTGACATGCCGTCATTTCTTTTCAGTCTTCCCTAATTGTCAACAGTCCAAGTGGCCCATATCTGGGACTTTAGAAAAGTAGAGAACTCAGTCTAGTACCTTGTTTAGTGAAAGAGTTTTGGCCCTGAAGAAAACTGTTCGGTTCCTGCCACCTTAGTCCATGCACACAGACTTGTGGGCAGTTCTCATTGCCTTCACCCTGACAAGCCTGCCCCAGGGGGGGAATCTCTCAATCCCTCACACTCCTACCTCCATGCCACTCTGCCCGGACTGACTGTCCTATGCAGGATGTCCTTTTTTCTCTAGGCAGTGGGTCACTCTGTCTGCCAACCTTCCCTCTTAGCCTGAATCCCTCCCAGCCTCACTTGTTACATTAATGTATGAAGTGAAGTCTACTGATCAGAGAAGGCAGTCACTTGCAAACTATGAAGTCCTCTCCACTAGTGATTGCATATGTAACCCATCCTTGAAGGCCCTGATGTTCATTGGGAACTGCACACTTAACCACGTTATTGTAGAAAAGGAAAAGGTGTATGAAAAATTGCAGTGTTTGCAATGCGATGAGGAATCTGTCTTAGAAGTTGAGGGAGAGCTTTTTCCTATGATGGTGGTAACTGTCAAATTTAGGAATGGGACAAGTAAGGGTAGGAAAAAAACATTAGTCCTTACTTCTAGTAAAACAACTACAATTTTTTTTTTGTATGAACCATGTTCCTGTGAGTCACATGGTAAATTACAATAAAAAGCTGAAGTACAAGACATGGGAATTAGCTGAGAGTAATGAAAGAGGTTTAGGTGGTTGCAATAAAGAATATTTATCCATATCAAAAAATGAGATAGAGCTGCTTCAAAAATAGACATTTTGGAGTCACCAAAGTTGCTATAGCCACTTTTTCAGGATGTTAGGTCTAGAACAAGTTATTGCTGCAGGATTCAGGTAAGCACGTCTGGATACAACTCTAAAACCATAAAGGAGAACATTTTTTTTTTAATTATTTGATTAGAGGGAAATTGAATGTTGAAAGAAAAAAAGACCAGAAAGAACATTTTGGTCTGGTATTCATAACCTCTTTTAAAGTGCAATTTGAAAAGTTTGACAAATCAATAAAACACATTGGTCTATCCTACATACAGATAGATATCTGCCAGTGATAATTCAGAAGAAGCCTAAAATTAGGGTGTCCACTTTAGATGAAATAATGAAAATATAATAGACTCCAAGAATTTTACAAGTTTTATTTAGCCGGCGTGCATTCCATAGACTGAATCCAACCGGAAGTGACGTAAAAAGGGACTTTATGATTATCTGGATGTGTTTAGAGTGATGGGGGAATCTAACACATTATGATATTGTGAATCTATAAAATTGGACTAATTGGGCAATATACAAATTATCAGCCTCCTTTATTGAGGGGGTATAAAAGACTCCTAAATGATGGCGGCTGAGCTTCCTGATGACACGATTCCATGAAATGCATTGGGGCCTGGAAGTTGCTGTCACTTTGGTCCCTTTTTACATCACTTCCAGTTGGATCCAATCTGTGAAACACATGCCAGTTCAGATACTGGGAGCAGCGGTGCAGAGTGTTTGATTCCATCTTACGTTTTATGTTAGTGCCACTCGCACAATCATATATGAGTGTACTAATTTTATCTATTTTTCCAATTTTAATAAACTTACTACACTATAAAAGTTCCCTTTTCTCTGAGTGTATGTGTTGTCATATCCCATTCATGAGAGAGTATCCATGAGAAGATGGTGGTGTTATCTGCTTTCCCTTTTTTTGGTGATGGTCGCAAATGAAGAGTATGATAAGCTCATTGATGATTAAAATCTGGTAAGTTGCTAACTTTACCTCACATGATGGATCACAGGATTTGATGTTTGGAACAAATATTTTTTACTGGTATTGAGAACACACTGCACAGAGTCTTTGTGGTATTATTGTATGGACTATTCACATTATGGACATTCTTTGTTTTATATGGACATTTTTTTGATTCTTCATGAGATAGTTCATTCATTTGTTAGAGTTTTTTTTGCACTTCTATTTGCACTATTATTTGCAGAGTTATTGAATTAAAAGGTAATTTGTATCATATTCATTGGTTTTGAGTAGCACCTTTCTTATTTTTTTCAATTTGGGATTCTAGGTTGGCACCCCCTCTTTTTTTCACTTATCTGACTTTCTATGCACAGACTGCAATGCACATTTTAATGTAAGTAAGCTGATTTTAATTGTTTTTGCTAAGAAATTATATTAAGCTTTGTTTTTTTAAAAACTTTAGAAAGAGAAGCTGAGCTGTGAGAATACGGACAGGGGTATCTTTCTACCTCTCCCCCTTCGCCCAAGTGCAAGCAATTGCTAATTCCACAAGAAGAGATACCATATAACTGATACTCAGCATCTTAAAAAAATGGTTACATTTTACCTGACCCCATGAGGTACCCAATGATGCCACCCAGTACACATGGGAGTCAGTAGACCAGACCAATGGCACAGTTAGCCATAGAAGTTGTCTCCTTTCCAACTTCAAGTGATCTGTCGAAGAGAATATTCCAGGCATCTATACATCAGTGATTGCAGTGATGTATTTATTAACAACCTTTCAATATATTTTCAAATGCAGTTAGTGTGAATATCGACATTTGCCTTAATTTTTGACCTCTAGCAATTCCCTTTAAAACAGCACTCAAACTGTGAGAGGAAAGGGCAATATTTGGGCCAATCAGGAGTTGTGAGGCACACAAAATTGCACTAGCTCCCTAAAAAACATATTTTAATTTAATCCAACTCACTTAGCAAAATATGTATTCATCCATAATATTATTACCTGAACACCTTTCCAGGTATACATTTAGGCTGGCCATACATAGATTAGTTTTTTCAATCAACCAAACAAGGTGGATGGAGAACTTCTCCCCATGCTATTGTATTTTGACAGTGGGGACTCCTCTACTGTCAGAATACACTGATCAGTGCTGCAGCTGACTGGCTGCAGTGCTGATCAAAGGTAAATTTTCCAACAACCTAGTTTGAGAGAAGTTCAAGTGACATCTATCGAACAGCAGCAACCATAGATGGATTGAAATTTGGCCAGTCTGTGCTGAATAGACACATTTTGATCCATGACCAGATTAAGATTAAAAAAGGGTTGAACAAGGACATATCTTCTCATATTCCTCAAAAAAAAAATCAGGAAGGCTTTTAGTTGGAAAATTTACTGTCCATGGTGTATTTGGTGGCTTTTGTTTATAAAGCAGATCAAAGTAGCAGCTTGGCAAATCAATAGAAAAGTGGATTTTAAGACGTTTGCTTGTCTCTGCTCTTTTGAATCCAATACAATAAAAGTGTGTGCCAGTCACTAATTATCTACGCTGCGCTTTATAACTGCCATGTCATTAATATTTGTCAGAATATGCTAAAAAAATATAACATTGCGCATTCATTACTCACAAATGTTCAATCCACCTGTAGATTGAAGAGAGGCTTTTTCCATTATGTATTCATTTCCGTACTGCCCTATTAAAACATTATTTTGCATAATGTCTGTTTGCTAAATTTAGGATGTGGTAGGGACAAGATGAATTGGTGAGTTAGAAGGCCCTTTGTCAAAGTAGTATTTCTGAAAGATACAAGTGTATTTAGCCATTAAACAAAATAATTGTGGTTTGATTGAAAGGGGTGCTTGTTTCTTAATGTGTTGTTTTATGTTGCTCCCTCTTTCTAATGATGGGATTGGAGAGAGAGTAGATGCTGACAGCTGGGCTTTAAAGCCGCATTAATTAGTAAGCTTGATCCCAAGCGATTCCCTCTGCCAAGCACAGCCAACATGTGAGGTATAACCAATATAGGACAAAGGTCTACATTATTCTTTTATTCATGTAACCCCTTGACTACAAAACCATTGTTATGTATTTCCAATGCTTATAACCACTGCTTATCCTTCTAATTGCACAAAGTAATTCTATTTCAATTTGTTTATATATCACAGCAATACTTTTGTGGTGTTTGTAACAAACTCAGCTTTGATGAAACAAAAGTGAAATATTTTACAAATGTGTAGTTATTGATTGCAATAAATAAATTATCTTAACAAAAGGGCATTTTGTATAGTAGATTTCATTGACTAATCCTACTTAAAGATGTTTTCAACATATGCACATACCATTGTGTATGATAACAGTCACGGTCTTAGATGTACATAATGACAGGCTATTAAGCAGAACCTTCAATAAAATGATATTCATCAAGATGAATAAACACTGTTCATGTAACAATAATAATATAAAAAACAATTATTATTCTGATTATTATTTTATTAATCAGTTAACAGTTGTATTGAAATGGAATATTTCAGAATACTGTTATTTTCTCTTTAACAGAGAAAATTTGTTTACACGGTATTAAACAGCAT